TTCTCCTTCTAATAATCTTATCGAGAAACAAAATGGAGATAGTAGGAAACCGCAGGATGTTAGTGGATATCCCGATTGTCCACCAAAAGTTTCTCTCTCTCAATTAATTAAGTATTATTTTAATAATACCATGAATTTCGGTTTTTGGCAATTCTTTAACGATATACTAACGTCCCACCTTCAGTTAAGAATCCGCAAAACATTTCTTTTCCCATACAAAAAGTGGTCTATGCAACCCTTGTAACTGAAAATTCCGCGGGATAGAATCTAATATCGAAGCAAATTTTCGAAAGATATTTTCAAATCACAAATAGACACTCAAGTATAAGTTAAAGGTTAAACTATAGATATAATATATTCGCTCAATACTAGGAAATAAAAAGCCTAATTTTTTTTATGAATAACAAAACAGAGGCTGTTCTAATTAGTGAAACAGCACAAGCCGGTTGGTTTAGCGCGAACACGAATTATGCAAATATATTCAATGTTAAATAATAAAATATATGGTAATATATGCGCCTGCTCGAGGGCTTCTGAGTGCTAATAATAATAAACGAACAGTTATCTATACGCTCCACATTAAATAATTATAAAAGTTGTAACAAAAATGTGTAATAATTCAGCCCTTTTTAGCATCCCACTGCTGGGCACAGCCCACCCTTCGATACGAGGGCCAAATTCAATCAGGTCTCAGTGCACCACGCTGGACAAGTGCGGTTAGCGGACTTCGTGTGGAAACCTGCATGTCTGAGAGAACCTAATAAGTTATCGAAAAATATTTGAAGTCCGCCCGCACTTGGCCAGCGTGGTGGACTATGGCCTTGATTGCCCCTCGTATTAAAGGGACGTCCCTTAAAGGGGTTCAATAAATACACATTTTGTATGCAAAAGTACACACCATGTGATGATGATGTGGCGCGTGGTGCAGATGCGGCGACTCCGCCGACGGACCCGCTCCGGCGCCCGGGCTCACTCGTAATTCTGAAACAATAAAATCTACACGTTTAAAATTATATAAAACAACATTTCTTCTAATTATGCATTAAGTCTAAAATAATAATTAAAGAGAATATGAAAGTTCGTCAGCAGTAACCTCTGGAAATGCTGATCAGATTTTAGTATGTGGCACAACAATTTGATACGATAAAACTTCAAGCTAAATTCTGTCCAAAAATTTAACCTCCTTTATCCCAAAAAATAAATGAATCCCACGGGATAGATGACTGAAATTGTTTCATTAATCTGATCAAAACGATAAAAGGAAGCGTAGAAACCCCATACAATATTTCGAGATTCTGTTGAAAAGTGGCTATCCCGAAAAGTATACTAACCCATTTCACAGTATCTCTCACACAGGTAGTGGGTTCGATATACTCTAAAGCGCTGTTATCATTCTAAATGTAAGAGATGGGATAAAACTAAGCAAAGTCGATAGTTGGCAGAGCTCCACCCATTGTTGCATGTAGGTTCAATTTTGTAGAGTGCCAGTGGCGGAACTTACTCGTAGCCTCAAATGTAGGAAGAAGACTATGTTGTATAAACCGACACGTCATAGTACATATTAAAAATTCTAAATAGGTTGTATATTTAAAAATAAATAAATACTATCTAAATTAAAAGGATGCGTTAAAAAAGAAATAAAGAATATACGTAAGTACATTGTCAGTAAAACTAAATATAGGTATAAAAACTTACGTTTTAAAACTTTTAACTTTTAGTATAGATTTCTCAGAGATGTGATATTTTTCTGCAGTAAAAAGTATCCTATATGTTGACCCGGATACCCGGCTATCATCATCAACAAAATCTGTCCAGTGGTTTTCTCGTTCCCGCTTTTGTACGAATATAATGCATTCCCAGAGACAGACAGTCAGACAGACAAAAATTCTAAAAATCGGCCTCTGTATCGATAATAATGACTAAATCAAAAAGATTTTCCAAAAAAATATTTATTGTATAGATTCGCCTCAGTTACAATTTTGTTATGTGTACATACAAAGAAAGAAGATATAGATGTAGACGAATAATACAATCAAAAGAAATGTATGTATTATTAATGAAAAATATATTAAATTTCACTTAATTTCCCATTTTGGAACAATGCATATACCTAGCTGACTAGATTTTGAGACTTTTTTAACCGATATGAAAAAAAAGGAGTCTGTAATTATGGTATTGCGCGATATCATAGCTGCTGTCATATTTCTTTTATTGAAAGAGTAAAATAAACAATTTTAGGTTTATTTGAAGTTAGTTGTACATAAAGATCCTCCAGTAAGTACATATATTTCGGTATGTATATATTTGTCTTAATGAGGAAAAGAGACAGAAGACATAGCGTTTTCTCTTTCCTTTCACCGAATACCGACAATGCCGAAACAAAGCGCGTTCGTTAGCCATTTTTGAAGGTCACATCTTTTATCTCAACCGGATCAGGAAAAACATACAATACTAGCGGACCCGACAGACGTTGTCCTGTCTACACGTCTTTAATTTGAAAATTTTTAACTTTTTTTAATAATTTTTTTGATGAAAATTATTATTCAAATTGTGAATCTAAACCATTCCCAGATCCCCTTGAACACACACAAAAAATTTCATCAAAATCGGTCCAGTCGTTTGAGAGAAGTTCAGTGACATACACACTTACAGAAGAATTATATATATAAAGATATAAACAAAACATGCATCACGCATGACATTGTCGAACCAGACGCGCCCGTCGGTCACATGTCGACGCTCGCCTACGACTGTTGCCAGACGGCAGACATCACACTTTTGGTGTCACGTTCTTGTTGTTTCATCAATAAGCAATATTCTTCAAATCTACACTATAATATATACCTAAAATAAAATTCCAACTGAGTCGAATCTGTATGTTATATATTTTCTTGGAAAATATTATTGAAATAGTCATTATTAATTATTATCGATACAGAGACCGGATCTGTAGTTTTTAGAAGTTTTACTTTTCTGCCTGTCTGTCTGTCACCCCATCACGGAAAAACACTGGAGGGATTTTGATGTTCGGTATGATGATAACTTGTTATCCGGTTGAACATACAGGATACTTTTTACTGCGGGAAAATATCTCATCTCTGAGAAATCTATACTAAACGTTTTAAACGTAAGTAGGGACGAACCCGAGCGGAGTTAGGGTGAGTTGCTAGTACACTTATAAGTGTACCGACACGACAATGTTGCCAGATTGGGTTTTTGAAGTGAAACTTCCTTAGGCGCGCCGTGACAGGAAAAAATATATTGGCGTTACGATTATTCTCTGTGTGTAGGTAATATTTGTAAGAACGATAGCTTTAAGACATCTAAAACCGCTTCCGCGAATTGGTGTAATGCATTTAAAACGTCGGGAACCAAAAATAAAAATAAATCCAAAAATCCGAAAAGATAGTTATATTTACAGTGTTATACAAATTAAATTTTTATTCAGTAGAGACATCACCGAGAGAAACCGAAGGAAACACGATGGAGTAACTGAAAGGCGTCGCAGGCGGAGGGCGAGGCTCATAGCGACCAGCCCAGTTTAGCATAAGTTGCGCAAGCGCAGAGAAAGCGTGCACAACACTACCGTACGCGGGCGCCGCGCGAATTCACTATTACCGCTTTTGTACGAATGTAACGCTCTTGACGCAACACAGAAAGTGCGACCTCAAATGAAATTATACGTCATTAACGACGATTGTAGGGCATTAGTCAGGATTTCGTACCCGAAGGGTGCCAGCGGGATCCTGTTAATATGCCTCCGCTGTTCGTCCGTCTGTCCGTCAGCGGGCTGTATCTCATGAACCCCAAAAGGTAGAGAGTTAAAAATTTCACTGAGTATGTACATATTTCAATTGCCGCTATAACAACAAATAGTAAAAAACCAACATGGCCAATTTCAAAATGGCCGCCATGAAAATTAAAAAAACTATCAGTAATATAGTGTTATAATATTATATTTTATACGATGGTACGGAACCTAACTTTTAGTCATATAATTCGAAAATTCTAATTTAGGATTTGTCTTGGTTTGAAATTAAGCAACACAATATATATGAGCAAAATATATCCCATAAACATATCCCATACAGACAGCCTTAACTGACACCAACCAACCCAACAAGCCGAGTGTATCCCATACAATCACGTCCAGGGTCGCTCTCGAGAAGAAATCCTAAGCTCGACGCAGTGTCTTTTGTTAGGTAAGATTTCGACCTTTTTAATTTTATGAAAAGATCTCTAATAATATGTACTAATAAAATGATCCCAGAATAAACCGGACGTGAAAGTACAGGGTTCCGTAGGCTATTTAGGTCGATTCTATGAAATATATTTATCTCTTTAGCTCTTTGTTAACAAACTTAAATTATTCTTCTGATCTATCTATCTATACTTATATTATAAATGTGAAAGTGTTTGTTTGTTTGTCCTTCTTTAACGTTGAAACGGAGTGACGGATTGGCGTGATTTTTTGTGTGGAGATAGTTGTAGGGCTGGAGAGTGACATAGGCTACTTTTTACCGCGGGAGATTATCTCATTCCCACGGGAAAACGCGTTATATAATATGTATATAGTCTATTTACTCCATATTCACCCTTAAAACGTACCTAGGGACGAACCCGAGCGAAGCGAGGGTGAATCGCTAGTAATAAATAAATACATATTATAATAAAATTCTAACGAGTCGAATCTGAACATTAAATATTTTTTTGGAAAATATTATTGAAATAGACATTATTATCTTATACAGATCGTATTATATACAGAGGCTGAATCTATAGTTTTTAGGATTTTTGTCTGTTTGTCTGTCTGTCTGTCTGTCTATACATACAATAAAACCACTGGACAGATTTTATAAAGCGCCACCAACTTTTTGGCATCATTTTTAATATTTTCGCCAGCAATGAAACTTATAACTAGAATGTAACAAGTCTATTTGAGAAGAAACCAACTCGCTAAACCAACAAGAGATATTGTAGTTGCTATTAATTTTTATCAGGCGTTATTTTTGAATAAATATTACTTTATTCTACTCAACCAGCTTATATAGTGATTCCACTTCTTCCTATATCCTATTTATTGAGGAAGGCTATAGGCTATTTTTTAATATCATAGTACGATCTATGAGCGCGAAATTCTACAACGCGAGCGGAGGTGAAGCGATAGTATAAAGCAGCTATACTCAACCTGCGGCCCGCGGGCTGCGTGCGGCAGCATCGAAAATCGCATTTAAACATATAAACATCTTTGTTAAGAAAGTAACTACATCGTTGACTTGGAATTACGTTTTAATTAAGACCTAAATAATTTTTGCTTGCGGCCCTCGACAGTTGACACCATGACTGAAACGTGTTTGTGGCTCCTATAAAAAAAAAAGGTTGAGTATGGCTGGTATAAAGGATAGAGCACACGGGTGTACCTGTTCGGCGGCGCTCCGAGGGCCCGGCGCGGCGCTCGGCGCGACGCGACCCGCCCGCACCGCCGCCTGTCCCAAACGTTATATTATCTATACATACATATAAGCAGAATTAGAGCGTCTGTCTGTGGCTTTATAGTACACTAGCAGAATCCGCGGCTTCGCTCGCGCTAAAACTACAAAAAATCTCTTAAAAGGTAGGTTTCATACGAACTTTCATTCCCTATTATACCCCCTTATAAGTTGAAGATCGAAAAATGCTGAAACACCTGTTTATTTAATTGTATTGAAGTGCATTAATACCAAGTTTTGAGTAGTTCTGATCATAAATATTTTTTTGGCTTGTATTATAACGTGTTTTCCCGTGGGAATGAGATAATATCCCGCGGTAAAAAGTAGCCTATGTCACTCTCCAGCCCTCCAACTATCTCCACACAAAAAATCGCGGCAATCAATCACTCCGTTTTAATATGAAAGAAAGACAAACAAACAAACACACTTTCACATTTATAATATTAGTGTGGACTATTTAAACTAGCAACGCTCGGGAGCGTCCGTAGGCGCTTTACAGTAACCTATATATTACTCCAACTACTAATCTATTTGTTTACAAAATTTTATCCTAATCCGTTCAGCCGTTTCAGTGTGAACAAGTAACAAATATACTCATACACTCCCACAAATACAAATTTTTGCATTTATACTTAGTCCGATACCCGTGTGTATGTCTCACTCCGCTTTACGTCTAAACATGTATGTGTAACGGTAAGTTGGAAGGAACACTAAAATGAAATTAAATAGAAGACCGAAGTTGGTCAGCCAAAAACATTGCGCGTTACTTTTAATAACCCATAATTTGGCAATGACCGAGAATCGAATTGTGAACTTTTAGCGACGTGTACCATTTATATCGTGTGTTTCTTACATTTTTAGAATTATTATGTACGATAAAAACCTTTTTTACCTTCCATCTATACTAATATTATAAAGAGGTAAAGTTTGTGAGTTTGTGACGTTGCAGGGGGTAATCTCTGGATCTACTGAACCGATTTAGGTGAAATTTGGTAAGAAGATAGTTTGAGACCCTGAGAAGGACATAGGATACTTTTTATCCCGGAAATCATCTCTCAAGGGGGTGAAAATGGGGATGAAAGTTTGTATTGGGCATCAAGTTTAATATAAACTCAATGTAAACACTAAATATATCTATGCTCATTTGTTTCAACTTATCTTGCCATCCACTGAGCCAACTTTAACGAATTTTTTACTGTATAAAAATGGCCAAAATTCTTTTTTTTCTCGATGCGATAAAATTTTGTAGGTAAATAAAAAAATAGTATCTTCCTAAAAGTTACAGGTTAAAATACCTATGAATTTTTAAGGTCGCTTAGAATTTATGAACATTTTTAAGATCATTGTCTGAAAAACGGCTGAGCCGATTTTGATGAAATGTATATGTGGATCCCTGGATAGTTTGGATTGACAACTGGACCTAGTAGGTGGCGCTGCAGTTCTAGGATTATGTTGAATACCGAATATGGTGAAGACCGTAATATTCGGGCAGGACAACGTCCGTCGGGTCTTTATACAAATGCTGTAAGTAATTCGACAGTTAGAAGAGTAACTGTTAAGTTTCTCTCGATTTCTTCTCAGCAGAACTGCTTTTCGAACCGGTGGTAGCTTGTTCACGGACCGACTGACGCTCTTTAAATTAAATAACGATTCAAAAGTAACAAAAATCTAATTTAAATTTCGACGATTGGATTTTTTCAAAGAGATATTTGACTTCATAGTATCGACATACGCGTTTCCAGCGGAATACTATGTATTTAAATAGCTTAATAGAAAAGAGCGAAAAAAATAATAATAATAATTTACATTACATCTAGAAACATATCGACTACAAAATAGTATTTATTTGGCCCTAATGAAATTATTTTTAAGTTTTATTTAAAAAAAAAAATTTGAGACCACGAATGGTGAAATCTTATTCATTAAAAAAGTGCGTGTGTGTGTGTGCAATTCACACACGGTAGATGTGACACTTCAGAAGAGTAACCTATGAGAGAAAGAGATGGATATAGAGTATCAGGACTCAGGAGTAGGATAATTATAAGGTTTATTTTTTTAATAATATTTTTACCAAGTTTAAAAGTTATTGTACATTTTATTTGACACAAATATACATTACATATTATTCAGTAGTTAATTTTATTATTTTTCACTTCCTGTGTAATGTGTTCTATCTCAAATAACAACGGTTACCATGGCAACGTGGCAATGTATTTTTATGTCTCATTCTCTCGCCGGCTTAATCCTATATATTTATGTGTTTTTCTCTTTTCAAACCACAACGATTCCAAAGAAGTTTCACTTCAAAAAGTCAGTAATGGCCTTTACTTTCAAACTCGGTTAATAAAGAAACATATTCGACGACTCGTGTGGCTCAGCCTACTTGCTGTGCCAGCGGTCGCGGGTTCGAGTCCCGCTGGAGGCATTCATTTGTATGATGAGCACGAATGTTTGTACTTCAGTCATGGGTGTTGTTTATATTTATAATATGTATGTATTTAAAGTTATATATGTGTAGTGCATCAACTATCTGGTATCCATAAAACAGGCCTCGTAGCTTACTATGGAACTAGACGGTGTTGTGTATAAAAAAAACATATTAGTTTGAACTCAAACCACCAAACTTACGATCGTGTATGAGCTGAGCCACCAAAACCCCACATTATGTTACGTCGGATTATCGGATCGGGGAAATCCTAGAAATGCCCAATCTAGACATATTATGTAGCTATCGTAACATATTCGGCCGACAATATGTACTTTTAAATATACGAAATCGGTTATCTTCCCTCGCCTGAGTCTAATAGATAATTTTCATGTATAGAATACGAATTTTAGATAACTAAATTTTATGTTTATACGAGCATTTATTTAACGTTGAAACTATAATTCTGTTTTTAACAATAATATTAAGAGAAGCCAAGCGCACAAGATATGTTGCCACTAAGAATTTCTTAACAAATGGAAAAATCAAAAAAATAAAAAAAACCTGTTTTAGACAAAAACTGCACTTTGCCGAACCCGTGATCGATCCGTGTACCACCGAAACTCCAGTCGTGCATACCATCCACTAAGCCAACGAGTCGGTTTGACTTGGACAATATAATATTATTTATTACTAGCATTGCCCGCGGCTCCGCCCGCGTTCAGATGACCAAAAAGCAAATTCTTAGGTTTTACATATTAGTATACTCTTACATTGCAGTTTTTTTTTTGTATTTTTTCTCATAAGATATTTTCCCGCGGTAAAAAGTATCCTATATGTTGACCCGGATAACCAGCTATCACCATACCAAATTTCATCAAAATTCCTAGAGTGGTTTTTCTGTCATACGGTAACAGACAGACAAAAATTCTAAAATCTATAGATTCGAACTCTGTATTGATAATAATGTCTATTTCAATAAGATTTTCCAAAAAATATTTAATGTACAGATTCGGCTTAGTTACAATTTTATTATATGTAGGTATAGATAGTGCCATGGAGCTAATTAGATTTGACTGCGGAAACTATAGAAGTACATAGTAGATTAGACTATAATAAATAAAAGCTTGTCTTTTTATATATTTATTTGATTTTATTATCAAAAATTTTGGTTTGGTTTCGTATTCAGCCTTTTTTAACGTGCCACTGCTGGGGGTAGGCCTCCCTTCAATACGAGGGGGATCAGACCATAGTCCACCACGCTGGCCAAGTGCGGGTTTGCGGACTTCACATGTCTTTCGAAAACTTGCTAAGTTCTCTAAGACATGCAGGTTTCCTCACGATATTTTCCTTCATCGTAAGACAAGTGGTGATCATGTTGGAAATGATTCGCACATGAAAATAGTTCGAGACCCGAGATTTGAACGCGCTTCACTCGGTTACTCAAGCGTTACCATCGCCTTTGCATTGACCGGTAAATATTAATATTTTATACAGAACATGTTATTATGATTATTTTTTTTATGTTCCTAGTTTTCTTAAAGTAAAAATATCTATCGTTTGTTACTTTTACCAAACACATTACCTATTCGTTACAGTAGCCAATTTATTTATTATTAACATTTACCTGTTAAGAGCACATAATATTCTGACCGTATTATAATCATGTACAACATGTGTGTATGTAGGTATGTGAGAGGTGAGTACTGACCGACACTCAATCTCCTCTGGTCGTGGTGGTGCGGGTGCCGCTTGGCGGGCGCGGGCGGCGGGGACTGCGCCACGCAGGCCTCCTTCGGGCTCCCTGCACTGCTGCCATCGCTGGAACAACACATATAGTATAAATAATAATAATAACCCTTTATTGTACACCCAAAAAGAAAATATACAAAATATAGTATGTACAAGAGGCGGCAATATCGTTCCTTATTTAATACTAATATTATAAAGGCGTAAAGTTTGTGAGTTTGTGACGATGTAGGGGGTAATCTCTGGATCTACAGAACCGATTTAGGTGGCATTTGGTAAGAAGATAGTTTGAGACCCTGGGAAGGATATAGCATACTTTTTATCCTGAAAATCATCCCTTAAGAGGGTGAAATGTATATTGTACACTTTTTCGTTCGATTAGAAGTAGCAGTTCACTAAAAAGATATGAATAAGAGTATTGAAGTTTATACGAAAAAAATGTAAAAAAGGAAGGTTAAAGCACTTATAATTTTAATTACCAATATCAAACAAAACGAACCAAGTCGCGGCGGCGGTACAGACTGTTAGTACACATGTTAATTATATTTTGGGCAATTTCTTCTGTCCTACCAAGCCACCTAACCCTACCTAAGCAACCCATTATTTTTGTAGAAAAAACGGGATATTCACCATGTTTTTCACTCATTTTTATGGATATCCGACATTTAGGCTCTGTTGCAAGCGCCATGGTCACGGGCACACTACCATGACCATTAAATAACAATTATTTATTTGAATAAATAATTTTTTTGGGACACAGCGCCATCTAGTTCCATGGTAAGTTACGAGGCTTGTGTTATGGATACCAGATAGTTGATACACTACACATATATATAACTCTAAATACATGCATATTATAAATATAAACACCCATGACTGGAGTACGAACATTCGTGCTTATCACAAAAAATGAATGCCCCCAGCGGGATTCGAACACTACACCGCTGGCATAGCAAATTGGGTCACTATAAACTGAGCCAGACGTGTCGAATTTTAAAAAGTATAATCAACCCTGGCCATAAACTGGACCATTCTTAAATCAAAATTAGCAATCCCACTAATAAGCCACTTTAAAACAAATTAGACTATCAAAAAAGCTAAAGCTGTCCAAGATGGACGTGAGCAAGAAACAAAATGCAACGTCATTAGCCGCATAACAGTCCATTACAAAGGCGTTGCGGAGTTCAGCCGCGGAGAGCTGCCGGAGACATGGCTCTTGACAAGATGCCAGCGCGCAACGAATTAGCTTTGGACCGCAGCATCCCGCTACAGCTAGAGTTATCTCTTTACGCTAATCAAGCAGAACAAAAGTTATGAAAAACTGGCTGACTTTCAACAGTATTTCGATGCGATAGAATAAAAACATTCGCCATATTTTTACTATTACTTTTTGGTTTATATTTTGGACTTTCGTTTTGTTATATATATGTATATTATTTTCTGTAACACTTCTAGTTCCTGAAGGCTACGAGTTAGGGCTTCATATACAATATGATACCATTTAAAAACTGTAAAATGTCATGGGAAGTATTTGATGTAGTAGCATGAAAGATATCTACGCAACCATGAATTACGCCATGCCAATGTTCCGCCGTGGTTCTGGACCACGTGGAAGATGGGCGAACCAATACAGACCGTTTCGAATTTATGATCTACAATATTAATATAATAAATTTAAAAGTAATTCAGTTACATTTTCATGCTTAATCTTTCATCAAAATCCCTCCAGTGGTTTTTCTGTAATGCGGTAACAGACAGGCAGACAGACAAAAATTCTAAAAACTATAGATTCGGCCTCTGTATCGATAATAATGACTATTTCAATAAGATTTTCCAAAAAATATCTAATGTACAGACTCGGCTTAGTTACAATTTTATTATATGTATAGATATTTTGTAAAGAAATGTCATGTCATGCAGTTGTCTACGTACCAACAACAGGTCATCCATCCTAAAGTATTTATGTATGTATGTATGTATGTATGTATGTATGTATGTATGTATGTATGTATGTATGTATGTATGTATGTATGTATTTATGTCGGATTCTATGTTCCTTCGTAAAACGGCTAAACGGCTAAGCCAATTTTAATGGTTGACACGTCATTATTTACATACAGTCAAACACTCGTGCCTCAAATTTCAATAAGACCCAATTCAACTTGTAGATACTTCTCATACTTACAATTAGAGCGTTAGCATTCAGTATTCAAAAGATGATCGATCGATAAACACCACAGAAAAGGCCGTTTTAAAAGCCGTCTCGACTTTGCCAATGTATGTAGGTACATTGAACAGTGCCTTCGACGATCTGACCTTTCGTCGTCGACGAGGTCGGTGTATATTTTCGCTAATATATCTTTTATATTTTAGACGACACGTTTGGCTCAGTTTGTAATGATACTTGCTGCACCAACGGTCGCGAATTCGAGTTCCGCTGGGGGAATTCATTTGTGTGATTTGTTCAAAACATTGAACGTGTATATTTAAAAACATAACTTATTTGAAACAAAAATATAATCTGCCACTTCAATCGGTCATGTGAACTTAGACACAGCTCCAGTTATTTGTTCCACGGGCTGATATATACCTAAAGAAATGGTCACGTTCGTCGGTTAGACTAAATAAAGCCAGGCACGTGGACGAACCCACAGAGTACTAAATAAATGCAATATTTGAGCATATTAGTTGGAAAAAAGCCCGAAATAAACGAGCCAAAAAGAAATACAATATACATATAATAGTAATTTACAAAATCACGACCGAAGCGCAAAATATTGTTATATATTGACGACACGTTTGGCTCAGTGTGTAGTAACCCTACTTGCTATGCCAGCGGTTGCGGTTTCGAATCCCGCTGGGGGCATTCATTTGTGTGATGAGCACGAATGTTTGTACTCCAGTCATGGGTGTTTATATTTATAATATGTATGTATTTAAATTTTCATATGTGTAGTGTATCAACTATGTATCTGGTATCCATAACACAAGCCTCGTAGCTTACCATGGAACTAGACGGTGCCGTGTGTTAATGTCCGAACATATATTTATATTTAACGTATATTACATATAACTCTTTTTTGCCCGCGGCTTCGCTCGCATGATAAGCGGTTCGTTGAAGGGTAGCCTATATGTAAGTAAAACTATCATTTAGGATTTTTCCCGGATTTATTTACATTTTTGGTTCCCGACGTTTCGACTGCTTTACAGCAATCATGGTCATGGGAGAGACTGAGGTGTTGTAACACCTCAGTCTCGAAGGTATAACTATACAGACAGCCTACCCACAAATAAAATGAAAATTGCACCAATTACATTATAATCTTTTTTTAACTTTAAACATTTTTTATAATTTTAATTAGTTTTATAATTGAATATGGAATATTTTTTATTTAATTTTTACTGTTATTAATATAGTTATTACAATTTTAAAAATATTAATTAGTAATCTATATTTAGTGTTGCCATTATAATATTTATAACCATAAAGAAAAATATAAAATATAATATTAATTATTTAACCCATATAATTGTTCTGTGTAATTTAAAAAGTTAAAATTAATTAAGGATAATAATTTTAATTTAGTATGCTATTATTTAAAAAGACAAATTACTTTTTTCATTTTGTAATTTGTGGGTAGGCTGTCTGTAACAACTCTACCTTCGAGACATCTAACACCTCAATCTCTCCCGTGACCATGATTGCTGTACAGCATTCAAAACGTCGGGAACCAAAAATCTAAATAAATCCGCGAAAAAAATCCGAAAAGATAGTTTTATTTAAAATGTCCAATATTCGCGTAAGTAAATCTAAGAAAGTGTTATGGGTAGCCTATGTGTGATGCCAAGATACAATCTTATGTCGTTGTCAAATTTTATCAAAATCAGTTCAGCTGTGTGTAAGCGTGAAAAGATAACAGACAGATCTACTTTCACAAATATAATATTAGTATGGATAAGCCAATCAGAGGAAGCCTCACAAATCGATATACGTTCACATAATAAACAAAGAAACAAAGAGGTGATGTGACGTCACGCGTTGTGTCATCATCACCGGCCGTGTGTGTGTGCGTTGTCCCCGACAAGCGCCGCGGTTGAGAAAGGTCTGTTGGTTTACGGCCGCTGGCATTTCACCAAATTGATTGTGTTTCAGCAAAACTCTACTCAAACTGATGTACGATCGAAGAGACCTGAACGTGTCCCAGAGCAATTTAGAATTTTACTAATATTAAAAACGTGAAAGTATAGATAGGTGTTTGAATGTTTGTTACTCAAGTACGCCAGAACGGCTGAACGGATCCGGATGAAATTCACCACTGTGATAGATTATAGTATAATAAAATTGTAACTAAGTCGTATCTGCACATTAAATATTTTTTGGAAAATCTAATTGAAATAGACATTATTATCGATACAGAGTTCGAATCTATAGTTTTTAGAATTTTTGTCTGTCTGTCTGTCTGTCTGTCTGTCTGTTACCGCATCACGAGAAAACCACTGGACAGATTTTGATGAAATTTGGTATGATGATAGCTGGTCATCCAGGTCTACATATAGGATACTTTTTACTGCGGGAAAACATCTCATTTCTGAGAAAAAATACAAAAATTGCATTGTAAGAGTATACTAATATGTAAAACCTAAGAATTTGTTTCTTGGTCATTAAAACGCGGGCGGAGCCGCGGGCAATGCTAGTTAAAGTATAAATTCCAATTTACTGGTGGAAATTATTTGACATTCATAATTCACTTTAAGGTATAGCCTACATATTAATTATTAAAAGTACCTTGTAATTTAGTTTATAATATGTACTAGCTATAATTTTAAACGGTGAATATGAAACACAAATCTTTGAATTTCTCGGCTTTTCAGTACTATAATATGCATATATTATATATACAAACCTTCCTCTTAAATCACTCTATCTATTAAAAAAAACCGCATCAAAATCCGTTGCGTAGTTTACAGATCTAAGCAATAAGCATACATAGGGACAGACAGACAGCGGGAAGCGACTTTTTTATACTATGTCGTGATATAATTCGTGAAATTATCTTATAGCATATGAAAAA